TTGCTATGAAGCTTGGGTGGATTTTTAAGGAACGTTCTAGCCTGTAGCATTTCCACCCTCCACTCGTGTCCTCATCACAGTTACACTACAGGAAAGAACTGCCATACTGTTTTTTAAGGTGGAAAACTGATGTATGGAGAAGCAAGGGCTAACTGAAAAAAATAAAATCTTTCTAAAAGTTCCAAGGAAATCTCAGACAGAGTAACACTAGGTTAACTAGTCAGTTAATGCAGGTTTACCTGTCATATCCCCAGGCCTGGATGCAAAAAAATGCTGGCCCAAAGCTGGCCCAGAAAACTAATTGTAGAAGATGACCTTATAGCAACGGGTTGGGATCTACAGCCCCTCTCCACCAGCCTATGGAATACGTAGGGTGTATGTACCTTGGCCACGAGGTAAGAGCAGGGATACAGCTCTTGCCCCTCTGCCCCAAAATACCACTGCAAATCTGTTTATCAGCCTGCAGTGATGTGGGTGGACATGACAAGGAATCAGGGAAGAGAGAAGGCCCCTTTTAGCACCCCCTTTATCGGGCTTGCACGGCTGAGGGTGGCCTGCACACAGCTCCTTCTCTCTGCAGACACTCCACAGCGGCTGCCTTAACTGTGCTCTGCACATGAGACAATAAAGTAACCTCTTAGATTTCCCTCCGTAAGAAAGGGAAGATCCCCCTGGATCAGAGCAAATAATAGTAACTATCTGGGGGTAGTCATGACAGGAACATCACTGTTCTGTTCACCTGGCATGAGTTTCATAGCTGTGGAAACACTGCCTGATTACATCTAGAGATTCTGTGCATTACATGAAGAATGATGCTCCTAAGTGCAAGAAGACAAAATTCGTTAAGCCAGAAAGGGGCCCAGAAATAGGTACGTGGCGCAGCAGACACGTGTTCTGCCACACACGTGCATTAATGCTCATAACTTAAGGTTTCAGTGGAGGTACCATGTTGTATCTTACTTTCAGGTGCTCTGTCCAGCGTGTACCAAAGCTTGAAGCGAGTGGGATTCTGAACCTGGAGCTCCTCCAGTTCGTTGCGTAACAGGATATCCCTCTCAGTCTGCAGGAAAAGGAAAACCAATGATTACGTTATGCATTTCAGCAAGGCCCTCAGGTCACCAGCGACCGTTAGCTACTCCTGTGAGATTGAGCAGGTTATTCCACTCCGTTTTTGTAGCTAAAGAGAACAAATGCAAGTTATTCCCAAGACTATCCAGTGGCAGAACCAATGAACAGGCTCAAAACTTCCCTGAACCCTGATCAATATGCAATGTCTTCCCCCGAAAGAATAGAGCAAACCAAAGAAAAACCTGTATCAAAACACAGAACCATCCCTCACCTAACAGGAATTAGCTGTAGCTAACTGTAACAGTGACACCCTCTTTAAGCATCCCCATTACAAAAACAACTTTCATCAAAAACTAATCATCACACGTATCTCATTATTCCTCCATACTGTACCACTTGGCCAGTATAATATCAAGTTTCCCACCTTCACCACGTCAAATTTCACCTAATCTCACCATACAGAGATTGCTTAGCTTTTAAACAGGATGCGGAATAACAAACACCCAACGGGTATCAAGTTCTGACTGGAACAACAAATGCTTTGCAGGGTATCAGGTTCTGCTCCTCCCCGATGCAAAATCATTGAAGACCAAAATAAAGCCTTATTCCCATAAGAGCAGCTGAGGCTCAGGAGGGCAGGGACAGAATCAGGGCTAAAAGTGGCCTCCTCCTCCGCAGCCTTTCTAATTTGGTGCTGTGGCCACCAGCACATGGGGAACTGCAGGGGTGAGGGGGACTGCACCAGCCACTATTGCCAAGAATGTGCCTATTTCTGGATTTGCAAATGCACATGTTCCAAAAAGGCTGCTCCTGAGTCTGACCAGCTCAAACAGGAGCCCAAAAGACAACACGTAAGATGATCTAGGCAAGCCTTAAGTTAGTTAGAAACACAATGCTGACCCACACGTGGTCATCTGTAATCAACACAGCCTTTTCAAGATGGTTAAAACAAAGTATCAGCAGAGCACACACCAAAAAAAAAGCCCCTTAAACTCAACTCTGCCACCTTTGCTTACTGTCCCTTTGTCAGTAAGCTGTTTATATTTCTGCAGTTACTAAGTATGGCAACTCTTTGAAGATTGATGCTTCCTTTGCTAACAGACAGGCAGCTGTTCCCTGAGTTTCTCCCCAAGAAGCAGTAGGTTCTCCGGGTTATTAAAGCAGCTCTAGCTGAGTTGCTCACAGCAAATCTTCCTGTCCTGGTACCTGCAACTGCTCAGCAGACATCAACTGCTGCACCTGCAACGACAAGCACTAGAGGGCACCGCGAGCTCTCCACTGAGTCTACGGGAGCAAAGCGCTAAAGCGACGCTCCTGCTGTCAGACTGTAACTTCCCCGGAGAAAAGCTGTAAGATTTAGATAATGTACAAGGGAAGGGAAAATATACTGAGAGTCAGAGGGTAGAGGAATGATAGAGGAAGCCCAAAGAAGCTAAAAACACAGGCATAACTGTCACATAATCCAGAAACACATAAGCACCAGGAGGGAGAAGTTTAGAAGTAAAAAGGTAAATACTAGAGGAATGTTAAAAAAAAACAAGAGCTGTGCACTTTAGCACAGCTAGACCATTGGGTGGGTTGCCTAGTCATTGACAAGGCCCATCACAAGTACTCCTGGTTGAAAGGATCTTTTCCCTTTGCCCGACTCTGGCATGGTGGCCTTGGGGAGCATAAAAAATGCATGAAGGAGAGAATGGAAATGAAAGAAGGGAGGCAGCTGTGCAGAATCACAGCTCTGGCTCAAGGAAACTGCATGAAATTAAAATCTTTGTCTCACACAAGTAGAAAGACTCTAAACCCTGTTCTGTAGTTAAGGAGTTGTAATTACTGAAGGAAGCAGATGGCTACTTCTTGCATGTAAAAAGACATTAGCAACTTGCACAAAGGAACTCTCAAGTACTAAAGTGTTTATAAATGGATTAGAAACAGCAGAGACACAAAAGAAAGTAAGCATTAACTGGAAGAACATTAGCACTTGGACAGGAAGGCTAACATGAGAATTCATTATGGTGTTTTTACATATGGGAAGGTTTAACATTTCCATTCATTTTTCCCTCAGGGTTTGTATTTTCATACAGTACTTTCTCAGCAAGAGTTGCATTTGCTGAGTGGAGTTCTGTTTGTTAAAGAAAGTGTTACATACAATAACAAGGACAGCATTACCTGATTAGCAAACAGCAGCTGACAAACAGTGTGGTCATCTTTGTCTTTCATGATAGCACGAATGATCTGCAGCATTGGTGTTATCCCTGAAAGAGAAGTGCAAGAAGGCAAAGAAAGTGGGAGCACGTGAAAACATGAACGAACACATCTATCAGATGTCAGAAACCACGTGGGAATCTTTATACATACGTACCAGTGCCACCTGCGATCATCCCCACGTATTTCACTTTTCTTAAAACTGGTTCAGCTTTCTTTTCTGGCCGAATAGCGAATTGTCCTGAAAAAAGCAGAGGGAGATGGTATAAATTCTGAAGAAGGCAGCAAACACTGGGCCCATGATACCTTCCCAGTCTGTACAATTCACTGATTTGGTTTCAGCCCTGTCACCCTTTCCCTTTGCAAAATAGGGGAAGAAAAACAGATTCTGAAAGGTTATTAGAGATTTTAGGGCACATGATGATATCCAACACTGACAGGAGTTATTACTCTGAACTGCAGCATTGAGTTGTCACTACTTGCATTTCTGTTTGCTCAAATCCCATTCCCTCAATCACGTTCAGAAGCCCAGATCTCTGGAAATAGTTCCACACACAAAAACTAACCTGCCCAGGGAGCTGGTTTGCCTCATGTAAGTTATTTAAACGGAAAACCCCCATTTGCAAAGAAACAGGATTCAGCACAAGCAATGACCAAACAGTTATGAACCAAGGGTTATTAGAGATTTTAGGGAATATGATGATATTATCCAACACTGACATCAGTTATTACTCTGAACTGTAGCATTGAGTTGTCACTACTTGCATTTCTGTTTGCTCAAATCCCATTCCCTCAATCACGTTCAGAAGCCCAGATCTCTGGAAATAGTTCCACACACAAAAACTAACCTGCCCAGGGAGCTGGTTTGCCTCATGTAAGTTATTTAAACGGAAAACCCCCATTTGCAAAGAAACAGGATTCAGCACAAGCAATGACCAAACAGTTATGAACCAAACCAATCTGCATCTAGTAGAAGCATGACATGGATAGCATGTGCTCCGCAGCACTGTGGGGCAGGGAAGACTACACCCTGCCAGAGCCAAGCTTGAGAGAAACCAACCGGTCTTTGAGTTTGCACCTGCTCTGCCAGTAGTATTGACTAATCCCCCTGCCTCTTCCCCCAGAACAGCTCAGCCCATAATCTTCTAAACCAGCACTGGGCATATTTCATAGCACTCTATCTTAGGCCAGATAATCAATACAAAATTGAACTGTTTGGATAGCACTGACTTTATTGGCCTAATTTTCCACATATTAAAAAAGAGTCAGTAATTACTTAGTTTCTTTATTTACTCCCTCTTTTTTGGCCAATTTAACAGTTTCAGCCAAACTTGATAGTGGGTGTGAAACTCCTAGAAACATCATGTTTACTCATCCATTCTCACAGGGCAGCATGAACACAAAATGCTGCTCACAGGACTGCCAGAAGGTGTTTGTGACACATCTGTGGCAGTACTATACCTACCTGGCACTTCCCATTGGCATAAAAGCACTTTCTACTGCTGAAGTTAAATCTCATTTGGGAAAACAGCACTGTACTGCACAAATGCCAAGTATTTTTACAAGTATATAAACTATGTCCATATAAGTAAGGAGCAAATTCCCTTCTCTGAGAACTGTATCAAAAACAAGTCCTTTTACACGTAACCCTTGCGCCACCAAGGATGGCTGTTGACGAATTAAGAGATTCACAATATCTTTTGCACAGAGAAAGACATAAACCCTGGTGAAAAAAAAAGATGAAGAGTACTTCTATTCACCCATCGAAACCTTATATTGCTTCCCTGTGTTGGTTACTTTGGATAAACAGTTATCTTCCAAGTCTGCCTTGCCTTTTCCCTTGTAGACAAGCAGGCCGCTTGGTCCTCTGAAGTCAATAGTGTCTCCTATTTTCAGGCTGTCTAAGTACTGAGACATCTTCCCTCCTTCGGGGAACTTCGGGTGGGTGCCTTTGAAGTAAATCTGGTAAAATACAAATGAAACAATCTCACAGCTTAAATATGAGCATTTGCCTCCATGTCTGGCATGCAAGTATTTATGCATTCATATTGCTCTTTCAAAGCAGAAAATTTCTACAAGAAGTTACACTACCAAAGCAAATTCAATAGCCAAAAAAAAAGAGCATCAAAAAAAAAAGAAAAAAGAGAATCAGAATAACCTAGGTGAGTTTTCTGATAAAAATTAAAATGCCAACCTTAGTCTGATTTTGTTCAGTCATCTGGGCACAGACTGGCAATCTCTTGTATTACTGTCACATAGAAAAGCCCTCTAAGCAACACAACTGACACCAAAGTTCAAAAAAAAAAAAGAAAAATAAAAAGTCACCATGAATCCAAACAGAAAAAAAATATCTGTTGACAGCTCAGTTGCAAATGAATATTCCTCAAACTTGTTTATCTCAATGTTAGCGTAACCAAAGAATGGACACCATGTACTTGAACATTCAACTGTTTGCCCACCAGTATCAGTGGCTGCACTGAAGGAGAAGGTAACTGCACTTTACTTGTTACGATAATGAAAACCCATAATCACAGAATCATAAAGGCTGGAAGGGACCTTTAGAGATCATCATAACGGCAGATCACTGAGCAGAGCTTGGCACATCATGGCTTCACATAGCACTGCAAGTGTAAAACTGGGCCCAGATGTTGCCCAGCTTAGTAAAACACAGTGATATTCTCACCTTGACAACAAGATCCACAAAGCCCTTGTCATCATCGCTAGAAACAGGAGTGTACGGTCTAACAACCAGAGTCCCATTAATCCGAGCAGACAGGTAGATATGTTGTCCTGCATGCAAGGGAGAAAATTAAAAACAGCTTGCATTCAAGAGATTTTTCTTTCACTGGACATATCTAGTTGGCATACACTACAAATGATGTCTCAAAGTTGCTTAACTACCTCAGTTTGGGGCACCATTTTTTTCCCTCTTGTATTCCTGACATTTTAACACCTTGCCAGAGTTGTTGCTAGCTATGTACAGATTCTACCTGGATGCATAAATGATTCAAGCCGATTTACCTTACATGTCTGTCATGTCTGATTTGATATTTTGGGATATTTATATTTACTGAAGCCAACTACAAGTGAAATGTTCCAGACACTCATTTCCCTCTCAGGTATAGACATGACAAAAAAAAAAAAAAAAAAAGAAGGACAAGGACAACTGCCACTTGAAAGTGTGATTCACATTGCATTAACACATTGGCTACAAGAAACTGTTCTTCCTTCCGCAAGGGATGGCGCAAGTCCACCAGGACAACTAGAGCTCTTCTAGTTGCCATTGCTAAGACCCCCTTATGCTAGACCCCCCTATGCTAGACATAAAGCAGCATGAGGAAAAGAAAAAAAAAAAAAAGAGGAAAAGATGCTCCTCCAAAAGGGAAAACCACTACTTTATGCTCTTTCTTGTCAGAGCTTTATCCCATCCCCGACAGGACAGGCAATGTTGGGGAGCACAAGGGATCTCCTGGACTCTACTCTAGATTAACTGGAAGGATGAAACTCTAAAGGATCCTACTCACAATTAAACGAATTTCTGTGTCACTCTAGCTGGCTATTACAAGTGAAATGGTAGTGCTGGACCAGACAGGAGGATGCACTCCAGTATTTGTCCTAAAACTGCAAAGTCTTATTCCCAGCTGCTCTGACCACCCTCCCCAGGTCCCAGCTTCCTTTCCTTCCAAAGTCCCCCCTCTGCAGTGAGGGGAAACTATCCGTGCCTTTCACCATTACTTAAGAGTAACATAGCAGGCCCAAAATAAAAGTGAACCTCAACATGATACATGGTAATGCTGCAGAGGTACTAAGGACTACCACCAGGTGACTCTGATCCGCAGAGCATTACAGGAGATAGTTAAAGCAGAACTCTTTAGCAAACACAATTTACAATTATATGCTTTTTACATATGCAGTGAGAAACAGTTGCACTAAGCTACCACACAAGGTAACAAGGCTTATGGCAGGGAGTAAGGAAACATCTACTGCATGGTGATTAAAAAATTCCATGAGACCGCCTGCAAATCCCGTGGTCAGCAGATCACTTGGCAAAAGGCATAAATTACAGGAGAGAAGCAGCTATGAGGATTGTCTCCAGGGATGGAAACAGACCACAAAAACCAAGCACTGTGGGAATAATACTCAGTGGAAAGTTAAGATTGGAAAATATCACCAAAGATCAACATTTGTTTCTACTGCATTCAAAGAAACAAGCTGGATGCACATTCTCTGTAAGTACATGATTTCAGACACTGCCTATGACTCACAGGACAGTTTTGCAATGCCATAAATACTAGCTGATGACTCAAGCAACACAGAGAGTATTTAAGATTCAACAGTACAAACTAGAAGAAAAAAGATCTTTGGCATCACAATGCAAACTAATATAACTTTTAAAACATCTGAGTCTCTCTTGCAAATCATGTTTCTGATTTCTGCAACAAGTATAATAAACAATGATGGGATTTTTGGCAGGGAAAAACAGGACATACCTATAGGGAGGCCCAAAACATGATCTGCCGAAGGAAGAGCGAATCGAAATCTTCTCGTGTCATGACTAATTTCCTGAAAGAAAAAATAAATAGCTGTGTTGTTAACACTTGATGTTTGTGATTTCATTTTTAAAATTGATATGCTTGTCAGACTTGTTGCATAGTTAAATAATTGGGCAACAGGAGGATGCTAACTGAAACTCTGGCGTAATGTAAGTAGGTAATTAAAGAACTCCATAGGATGCTGCAACCTTTATCAAGAGTGAACTTTTCATTGAATTTGATGGAAAACTTGGCTTTTCCTCAAAATATTTAGAAGTAACAGAGGGAAAAAAATATGTACAAGAGAAATGGAAAGAACTTCTTGACATGTATTTAAATGTTAAGGGCAAAACTTGGTAAGATACCTGCAGACCAATCTAAACAGTAACTTTCTAAACGGTGCCAACATTTACATTGCCTTCTGTGAGGCTGCCACAAGACAAGAATCTAGTCGTCTCATTTCTCATGTAAAGTTTAAATATGAGGGAACTCAATATCAAAAATATTATGACAGTGATGTCTCAATCAGATGAATCAATCATTTAAACGCAGAAGAGGACTTAAGATGGCACTAGTGGATCGCAAGAAGATTAGGATATCATCAGAATGCTTTAAGACAAAAATGCCCCTGTCCAGTTACTCCCCCAAATCACTTCATTTTTTGTTTCAAGTACAGTTAATTTTGGTTTATCTGACTCTGTGACATTACAAATAGCAGAGTGATGAATACCTGCAAGGTAAGAGGAATTCTGAGAACGTTTCAAACATCAGGATCTTCGGGCAGGCTGAGCAAACACTGAGAGCAACGGTAAAAGGTGGAGCCAGCTTACTAGAAGTTCTCTTGCACTGGAAGGTAAACTCTAGTCAAACGCACTGATTGCTTGAGCAGGCTCCTCCTATGCGCTGAAAGCCATGATTCTTTTCTCAAATGACTTTAAAATGTCCTTATATAAATTGGAGGTATTTTTAGGTTAAAGTTCTCGTCGATTTTAAATCAATTGTAAATCAAACTGTAGTATTCCACAAATTCTATTTTATTTCCTCTTTCCTCTTTATTTCCTCTTCCATTTGTCTGTGGATATGGCAATGCTGAGAAGCATATTAAAAGTGGCCAGAGTTGCAGAGTTTGCAACAGATTTTTGACACAATATTAGAAAGCATAAAACACTGAACTATGGATCAGATAAAACAAGAATTCTTGTACCAAGTTATTTTTTCAAAGCAACTTCTGTTTCCAGGGCATATTTCCCATTTATGCAAAAAAATATATATATATACGCCCATCATTCCAATGCTCACAGCTGATCAAGATATCAAATGCAGCAGCATTTCAGCTGGTTACAAAAGGGCTATTCCTCTACCCAAAAATAAAAAGTATTCATGAAATAACAACTGAGGACAGTCAGAAAAAATCAGTATCAAGCAAAAAAAAAATGTGATTTGTTTTCTGTTATAAACTGATAAGAGCAGAAAACTTTAATGCAGCTTCGTGTCACAACATGAAGTACCTCAAGGTTCATTCCCTTCTGCAGGCTGCATCTGTCACCACCAGTTGTGACAGGCTTGTGGAGGAGATGGGGAGTACGTAGTAACAGCACTCTTGCAATATGTGTGGGAAGTAAATTCAGCAAGGGAGCCCAGCCCC